AACAAATTTTTGAATTTTTGAATTTTTTTTTTATATCCAATTTTCTTTTTTTTTTTATTCTAATTACTTAATAATAATAAAAATACCAAATAACTATATTCCAATAAAGAAAAATGATAAATTCCTATAATAACAATAATAACAATCTTATTAATAATAATAATAATAATAGTGAAAACATTATCATAAATAATGATAACAATAATGAATATGATTCATATAACAATTTTATTTTTAAAAGAGAATTTTTAAAAAGATTAAATTTAATTGATAAAAGAAATGAAGAAGAGTATAAAAATTTTGTAATAGAAAATCTATACGATATTGCTCAACTTCAACTTTTATTTTGCCAACAAGTACCTTTAGAAAATGTTAATCAATATGACTATTCATTAGAGTCCGTAATCGAAAGAATTTTAATTAAAAATCAAGGAGGTGTTTCATCCCACCTAAATGTCATCTTTTCGTTATTTTTAAATGAACTAGGTATCAATTGTAGACTCATTAAAATTGACGAAAAAAGTAAATTTAACAATATATTTCTTTCAAATCCACACTATTCCATAATTATTCAATGGGATGATGGAAATGAATATTTAATCGACGTAGGCCTAGGTATTTACAATTGCTATCAACCATTAGAGCTAGGTTCTACAACACCAAAAATCCATTCATCTAAACACTATAGAATAAGAAAATTCAACGATGGATTCATATATGAAGAAAAGCTAATTGAAGAGCACATCTATAACCCAGTATTCCACTTTAATAGAAAACAACAAAAAGAAAATTTAACATTTGATGATATTTTAAATATTTCGAATAATAATTATAATAAAAACATTAATAACAACAACAATAATAGACAATACCTTTTTAAACTATATGAAAAAGGTTATTATTATATACACAATAATAAATTCTTTATAAAAAATTATTATAACGATAGTAAAAACAACGAAATAACCATTACAGACAACAACCAATTTAAAAAAATATCATTAAAATATTTTAATATTTTAATAAAATAAAAAACCCAAAAAAAATAAAATAATAAAGTATTTTTATAATTTTATAAATATAGATATAATACATGTTTTTTTTTTTTACTTTTATTTATATAATTTTATTAATATGATTGTTATTAATATTACTACAATTATATTATTTATTATATAATTTGATAATGATAATGATTATTAAGCTTTTTTTTTTTTGTTACTATTACTATTTCTATTTATACTATTCTTTTTTTTCTTCAATATCATTATTTGAACCATTATTAAGATCCATCATATTCATTAATAATTTTCTTTTTTCTGAGATCTTTTTATCTGATTCTGCACTTTGATCCTCTAAATTTGATTTTTGACGATTAAATTTCTTTTCTAAAAGACCCAACTTTCTTTGATGCTCTTCTAACATTTCCTCTTTGATTGCTTTTTCATTACGAGAGTGTTCTTTTTGAAGTTTTCTTTTTGAGGTTTGAATTTTTTGTTCAGCTTCGATTTGTTCTCTTTGATTCTTTTGATTTTGTTCTAATAGTTCATCCTCAGCCTCTCTGAGTTTACGTTGAAGGATTTCAACTTGTTTTTGATGTAATGATGCTTCACTCTCTTCATCCAATGCTTCATATTCTAGTCTTTTGATTTCTGATTCTAATGATTTTAATTGCTCCTTTTGATCCTCTCTTTCCTCTTTTTCTTGGTCTTCTAATTTCCTTAACTGTTTTATTTCTTCTTTGATCTTATTTTGGTTTGATGATAATTCACTAGATAATTCAAGCTCCTCTAATCGACTGTTTAATTCTCTTAGTGCTTTTTCTCTTTCTAATTTTTGTTGTTCCATCTGCTCTAATTCCTTTTGTTTTTCGATGTGTTGTTGATTAGCTATAAATCTCTTGTTTTCTAAATCTAATTTGGCCTCCTCCATCATTTTAATCTCTTGTTTATATTGCTCTTGAAGCTTATCAAAGTTTTGTTGAATACGAATATCTGCATCTGTTTGAATTGTAATTTTTTCGCTGGTGATATCAATAATCTCTTTATCCAATTCGATTGAATTTTGTTTCAAATGGTCTCTTTCTTCTTTTAATTGTTCGACCTGTTGCTTGGCAGAATCAAGACGTTTTTCAACATTTCTTGTGTCATCTTGTAAAACCAAATTTCTATCTAGAGCTGATTTTCTCTTTGCCTCTTCATCTACTAATTGTGATTTCATTAGCTTGGTATCAATTTCTAGTTTTGTTTTTATTTTTTCCCTACTTGAACGTGCTTTATTTTCCATGTTGAGCATATGCTTGACCTGGTTCAATTGATCATCCAAATTTCTTTTCAATTTTTCACTTGTTTTTTTTTCTTTTCTTTCTAATTGATATTGCTCCAATAAATCTTTATCTTTTGATAACATTTCCATTTTCTCTTTATTTAAACTACTCATTCTTTCCATTTCCCTCTTTAATTGCTCTGATGTATCTGAATGTTTCTTTGAAAGACCACTTTTTATATCCTCTAATTTCTTTACTTTAACATCATTTCTTTTTGATAATTTATCTTGTTGGAGTCTTGCTTTCTCTTCAAAATAATCAATTAATTTACCGGCTCTCTTTTGTTCATCAACAATATCATCTTCTGTAGTTTCAATTTTTCTATTTAAATCTTGAATTGTGAATTTCAATTCACGGACTTTAATACGCTCTTGATCATCTTCATCTCTAACTTGGTCAAGTTGATTTTGGGCAATTCTTTTATCCTTTTCAGCTTTGATTTTTTCTAAATGCTCTACCTCACGCTCTTGACGAAGTTTTTCTTTTTCACGTTCAATTTCTTTTTTGGTTTTGTCTTTTAATGAATATACCTTGGTTTCCTCTTCCAACTCCATGAGTGTCTTCTTTACAGATGCTGATAATTTATCTTTGGCCTTTTGAAGAGTAGATATCTCTTTCTTTTCCCAGTCGACATCCCTTTCTAACTGATTAACATTGGCTTGTACTTTCTTTTTGCTATCTAAAAGATCGGATTTTATAGCCTGTTCTGAATTGATTTCCATTTGAAGATATTCATTTCTAGAATTAGCATTTAGTAAATCTTCACGAAGCTTTTTCATTTCTTCACGGTGCTTTATTGTGGCTTCACTCTTCTCCTCTTGAATTTTAATTTCTCTCTCTTCTAACATTTGCTTTTCTTGAATACCCTTTTCTAAATTTAACTTTAATTGCTTGATTTCATCTTCGTACTGCTGTTTCTTTAAGAGCAACTCTTCCTTTGCTTTACGTTCGGCATCCAAACGTCTTTTTAATTCTTCACGTTCCTTATTATTTGCGTTATCTTTATTTAATTGATTGATCTTTTCCTGTAGTTCTTGGATATGCTTCTCGTATTGTTCTTTTTCTTTTTCAATTTTATTCTTTAAATCCTTTTCCCTCTTTTCAATTTCTTCTCTATACTTCTTACTGATATTTTCATTTTCAATCAATTCATTTTGAACGTTTTGAATCATTGATTCTAAATCTAGCAACTTTTGTTTTGAAATTGAACTTTCTGTTTTCTTAGTTTCTACACTTTTATTAGACTCTATTAATTTGTTTTTAATTGATTCAATTTTTTCCATTTCTTTTTCAATTGAAAAATCTAATATAATAAATTTATTAATAATCTATACTTTTTACATTTTATTATTAATAATATATTAAACTTACCAATTTCGTTATCTGCTGAGCCATTGGTTTCCGATACTGGAGTTGAGGATTCATTCATTTGGTCGATATTTGATAATAACTCTTTGAGCTTTGAATTTATTTTATCATTCTCCAATCTTTTATTATAATCGTGATAAAAACATGATAAATAGGTTTCAATTGATAACTTTTCGCTTTCTAATGAAAATGCTTTGAATGATTCTTCTTGTTCTAAAATATTCTTGAATAAATCATCCTCCAATAGTTTACCAATACCCTTTTCTTCAGCATGATTAAATGCAAAGTTTACACGATCGAATGGTGTTGCCAATGAATCTAGTTTACTTAAAAACTCGAAAGACTCTGGGAAAACATAATGGACAATGGCCAAAAATCCCTTTCCATCTTTCCATGATTCCGAAAAATCTTTAATTTCAATCTTGACACTTGGGTATGACTTTATAATCTTTTGACACCATATTAATAAGCTATCTTTACTTTTTAAATTATTTGGTGCCATATTTATTATTATTTATTGTTTATTATCTATTATTATTTTATTATTAAAAACTATAAATATTTATATTACTACAATTATTGTTATTAATAAAAATTATAAATATGTTGTTATTAAAAAAAAATTTTATTTTTGTGCTGAATTATAAAAAACAAAATATATATAATATTAGAATAATGTTACAAATAAATAATTTTTAAAAAATTAAATAAAAAAATATTAAATTTAAACCCCAACAAAAAAAAAAAATTTGTATATTTTAAAAAAATAAAAAAAAAAATAAAAATTATTTTTATTTTTGTATAGTGTACAATAATGTGGGTTATTTAAACTATATATTTATTTATAGAAAAATAAAATAGATATTGTTATTTGGAACAATACTTATATTAATTATTTGAAATATGAATAAAAAAATAAAACATTTAAAAATTTTTAAAAAAAAAAAAAAAAAAAAAAGTAAAAAAACAAAAAATTTTTTTAAAAATTTTTAAAAAATATCTTTTTTTTTTTTTTATAAATAAATTAGTTTTTAGTTAATCATTGTGCAAATAAGGTTTTAAATCGATAAACTATTTACTATTCTTATAATCTATCCAATTATGTAATTAAAAATATAGAGAATAAATAATATAATTATGGAGAATATGGATATGGATATGGATATGGATATGGATATGGATATCAATTGAATATTTCCTAAAAAATAAATTTACTTACTATAAACTATTTCCTTTGAATCCAATTAACCAAACAATATATATAATTCAAATAATGTCAATGGTTTGTATAAATACATTTATTAAAAAAATTTTGAAAATTTTTTGAAAAATAATTTTTTTTTTTTTTTTCATTTTTAAAATTTTTTTTTTTTTTTTTTTTAAATAAAAACGAATTTATATTTATTGTAAATTATTAATAAAATGACAAAACCAGATTTTTCATTTGAAACAACAGAAAACAAAGAGGAAAAATATCGTGCTGGTACAATCAAGGTTGGAAACAAAACCTATGAAACCCCATCACTTATTTTATATACAAAAGAAGGTAGTCCAGTTAATTTAACCAAAGATTTATTAAATAACTTGCCACACGAAAAAACACATTCATTACAGTTATTATTTTCAGATTTGTAGGTTTGATTATTATTAGTATAAACGACACATTTTACATATTCATCAAAATTCAATAATACTAATAATCATCAATTTAATTTAGATATCAATTTAAAGATGTTTTGGAGAAATTTGGTAAAGGTTCACATGAATTTTTAAGTTTACAAGAACATTTATTATTTTTATTAATTAGAGATTCAAGCTATTTCAATGAGCAAGAGTTTGGAGAGGATTCAATTTCAGTTACAACCAGAAAAGGCAAAACCAAGGTTACAATTGATGAATATATTAAGGTTGTCAAAATGGTCAAACCTGATGTTGTTACCACTCTTTCTTTAGATTTAGCTTGGGAGTCTTCAAAAAAAAGAGCAGTTAGAATTTCAAATGCTACAAATCAATGGTTAACCAAATTTATGGAGTCCGATGTTTCTAACTATACAAATACATTTGGTGTTGTTCAAGGCGGTAAATATGATGATCTAAGAAACAAATCAATCGAAGAGTTATTAAAATATACAGAAAAATTAAGCGGATATATACTTTCAGGTTTTGGTACTGGTGAAACCAATAAAGAAAGAAACGAAGTAATTAAAAACACCATTGTAAGTATTTTTTTATTATTATTTATTAATTCATTTGGCAGAGCTATAGTAATACTAATCATTTATTATCAATTCACTTTATTAGAGCAAATTACCAAATAACAAAATTAAATTAATTAGTGGTGTTGGTTCGCCTGAAGAAATTTTAAGTTTAGTAGAGTTAGGTGTCGATATATTTAGTACAAACTATCCAAATTTAATGACTGAATGGGGCAATGCACTTGTATTTAAATATACATGGGATGATGTCACCAGTCAAAATGATACAAATCAATCAGCAAATAAAATCAATCTTTGGGATACCAAATATGTAATTGATACCACACCGTTATTTGATGGTTGTGAATGTTTTACCTGTAAACAACATACCAAAGCATATATTCACCATCTTTTAAATACTCACGAAATGTTAGCCGAAGTTTTATTAACAATGTAAGATTGTGATATTTTTATTTTTTTAATATTTTTTAATATTTTTTTTTAAAAGACTTACTAATACCCTATATTTTAATTAATACCCCAGTCACAATGTATCACACTATCTTGGTTTCTTTGAAGAAATTAGAAAAAATATTAAAGAAAATAAATTTGTCCAATATAAAAAGTCATTTTTGGAAAAAAGAATTCAAATTAACAATAATGATAATTATAATTAATCAAAAAATAAAAAATAAAAACAGATATTTGTGTAAAGAAAATTCCATTTAAAAAATTATTTTTATTTTTTATTTTTTTTTTTATTTTTTTTTTTATTTTTTTAAAATTTGTGATTTTTTTTTTTTACTTTTTTTTTTTTTTTTTTTTTAAACAAAAAGTGACATAATAAAGGAATGAATAAATTAGTTTTGTAGTTATTTGTTTAATTGTATTACTTGGAGTATTTACTTCAGTAGAATCTATAAATATAAATGGAAAAAACAATCATCATAGAAAACATAAAACTAAAAGTTTAGAAATGGTGCCATCTTCCCCAGCATCAAGCATTGATAGCAGCGAGGATCAAGTTTATAAATCAGTTAAATGTAATGATGGTAGCGAATGTCCAGCTTTAAATACCTGTTGTTTAATTAGCGATGGTTCATATGCCTGTTGTCCAACTCCAAATGGTAAAATAATAAAAATTTAAAAAAAGAAAAAAAAGAATCATTTTATTAATTTTAAATATACTTTTTTAGGTGTTTGTTGTAATAATAACCATTGTTGTACTCAAGGTTTCCATTGTGGATCAGGTGGCAATATTTGTATCCCAGGTTCAAAGGGATTCAGATTTTAAAAAAATCTTTTTTTATCTCAAATTTCTTCAACGCCATATCATATATATTCACTGTTTTTACAATTTTTTTTCAATAAATTATTTGCAATAGTTAGTGCTACTATTGCATTTAACTAACCAAAATAAAACTAAAAAAATGGAAAAGATTATATAAATTATATATATTTTTTAAAAAAAACAAACAAATAAATAAATAAAAAACTTTGTATATTTTATAATTATTTCACAGGTTTTGTGTTTTTTTTTTTTATTAAAATTTTTTTTTATTTGATTTTATATATGCACATTTGAATTTTTATATTTGAATGTACTTGACTTTATATTATAATTTGTTTCGAAAATATTTATTTATTGTGAGATACCTTTTTTAACTCTTTCGGCATAAACAGTTTTCCATAATTTCTATTTTTAATATTAAAAAAAAAAATTAATATAAATCGTTTTAATATATTTTTGATTATTTAGTTATTTTGATAAGTTTTTTATTGTATCGATTATTGTATTGTTTAATATCTAATGTTTAATGTTTAAGCTGTTGTTTTGAAATTATATTTTTAAAATTAATATTTTATTAAGCTTTAAACAATAACTAGCATACTACTATTATTATTACTAATATTATTATTGTTATTATTGTTATTTATTTGTGCCCATTATTAAATATGATTTATCATTAAATATTGTGTGATCTTTACATCTTTGTTGATACCGTCAAAAATAACATTAACAGTACCGTTAACGGTGGTATCTAAAGCGAATGCACCGACGACAACAGCAGCCATCCAAGTACTGTTGTTTCTGGCGACGTATTTATAGAAGAGATTTGGTAATGACATTTTGATTTATTTTATATAAAATGCTATATATGAAATGAAAAATTTAAAAAAAAAAAAAAAAAAAAAAAAGTTTTTTGAAAAAAAATAAAAAAAAATAAAAAATTTTATTTTTTTTTATTTTTTTTTTATTATTTTTAAATTATTTTTTTTTAATTTTTACGAACCTCATTTAGATTTTGATCAAAATTTTATTACATTTTAAAAAAGCAAATAAAATCTTTAAAAAGTTTAAAATAATTTTGTAACCAAAATAATATAAACACATATAATTATATTATTTATATAAAAATAAAACAAGTAGAGTTTAAAGTAAGATATTTAATTTCTACACACATAAAAAAAAAGAAAAAAAAAAAAAAAAAAAAAAAAAAGTGATATATACAAAAAAACATAAATTGATTTTGACAGATAATTTTTAATTTTTAATTTAAAGGTTAAAATTTTTTTTTTTTAATTTAAAAATTAAAAATATAAAAATATAAACATTTCATTTTTTTAAAAAAGATCACAATATAATTTATTTAAATATAAATTCTATATTATCCAATTGTAAAAAGAGAAAAAAAAAAGTTGGTGGGTCAAATTTGTTTATTTTTTTTATATTATATTTATTTAAAAAATTTTTTTCTTTTTTTTTTTTTTTTTTTTTTTTTAAAATTTTTTAAAATTATTTTTTTTTTTTTTTAAAATTTTTTTAATTTTTTTTAATTATTTTTTATTTTTTAATTTTATATAAATAAATATATATAGCAATATGGGTAAGTTCACTAATCAAATAACAATAAATATAATAATAACAACAACCACAGGAAAAAAAAAATATAAAAAAATATAAAAATAAAAATAAAAATGGAACAGTTTGATTAATTTTATTTAATAATTTAGCATCTATAAATACAGAATCGGATGAATATCATCCAATTGTAATTTTAATTGATGAATTAAAGAATGACGATATGCAACTCAGACTTAACTCAATTAGAAAACTTCAATCAATTGCTAAAGCTTTAGGTCCAGAACGTACTCGTACAGAATTAATCCCATATTTACAAGGTATTATTTTTATTTATAATAATTTGATCAATATTGTTTTTGCGTGTAGATTTTTTGTATTATTGGATATTTTTTTTTACAAATATAGAACAGAAACAAAAATGGTTATATATATTTAAATATTTTTCAATATGTAAAAAAAAAAAAAAAAAAAAAAAATCACACACACACATAAAACAATATTTTGTTATTTTTTATGATTATATATTTATATTTTTCACTTTTGATTATTTTTGTAGACTCTGTTCTCGAGGATGAAGACGAAGTTTTAGTTGCATTATCAGAAGAATTAGGTAATTTAATCGAATTTGTTGGTGGTCCAGAACATGCTGTTTGTTTATTACCACCACTTCAAATTTTAGCTGGTGCTGAAGAATTAGTTGTTAGAGAAAAGGTAAAATATAAATTAGTTTTGGTTTTTTTGAATTGGAAGAATTTATTTATAAATTTAGCGCTTTTTTTTTAAAGTTGTTTTTTTTATTTTATTTTTTATACAATTTTATTAATCAAATTTTATACAATAACAAATAATAATAATAATAATAATAATAATAAACTAGGCAGTCGAATCATTATGTAAAATTGCTAAAGAAATTCCAAATCAAGCATTCGAAGATTCATTTATTCCATTATTATTCACATTATCAAAAGCTGATTGGTTCACTTCACGTACTTCTGCTTGTGGACTTTTCACTGTTTCATACCCAAGAGCTAATGCTGAAATGAAAAAATCATTAAGAAAGTAAATAATCAAAAAAAGAATCATCTAATCAAAATAATCATCAAAATAGGGTATTAATTAAAAAAATTTTATTTATTTTTATTATAGAACTTTTGCTGGTTTATGCCATGATGATACTCCAATGGTTAAAAGAGCCGCTGCTACAAACTTAGGTGTATGTTTATTTAATTTAAATTAAAATAGACTATATAAATTTTAACTTTTTTTATTTTTTTATAGAATTTTGCTAAACAAATTGAAAAAGATGCAGTTAAACAAGAAATTCTTCCATTATTCCAATCATTATCAACTGACGAACAAGATTCAGTTCGTTTATTAGGTGTTGAAAATTGTGCATTATTAGGTTCAATGTTAACTCCAGAAGAAAATGCTCAAGTTATTCTTCCAACTATTAAATCATGTTCTTTAGATAAATCATGGAGAGTTCGTTATATGGTTGCTCGTCTCCTTAAAGAGGTAGGTTTATAATAATAATAACAATATATCTATTTTTATTTAAAAATAAATATTAATAAATTATTATTTTTTAGTTATGCGAATCAATGGGTCCAGAAATTACTAAAAATGAATTAGTTGGTGCATTTGTTAAATTACTTAAAGATACAGAAGCTGAAGTTCGTACAGAAGCAGCATTAAGAATCGCTGATGTTTGTTCACTTTTACCAAAAGAAATAAGTATTAAAACTATTCTCCCATGTGTTAAAGATTTAGTTTCAGACTCATCACAACATGTTAGAGCTGCACTTGCTCAAGTTATTATGTCATTAGCACCAGTTTTTGGAAAAGAAGATACAGTTGCTCACCTTTTAGAACTCTTTTTACAACTCTTAAAAGACGATTTCCCAGATGTTAGATTAAATATCATTTCCAAATTAGATCAAGTTAGTAAAGTTATTGGTATCGAAATGTTAGCACAATCATTATTACCAGCTATCGTCGAATTAGCTGAAGATCACCAATGGAGAGTTAGATTAGCAATTATTGATTATATTCCACTTTTAGCCTCACAATTAGTAAGATATTGTTATTATTTTAGGTTAGATATAATAAAATGATTACTAATAATGGTTTTTTCTATTTTTAAAAATTAGGGTGTAGAATTCTTTGATGAAAAACTTGGCAATTTATGTATGACTTGGTTAGGTGATTCAGTTTTCTCAATTCGTGAAGCTGCTACCAACAATTTAAGAAAATTAACCGAAGTATTTGGCGTCGAATGGGCTAAAAATAATATTATTCCAAAAGTTCTCTCATTACACTCACATCCAAATTATCTTTATCGTATGACTACCTTATTTTCAATTAGTACCTTATCAACTGTTGTTGGTGGTGATCTTATTTCACAAGCAATGGTCCCATTATTAGCTAAAATGGTTTCAGATAAAGTTCCAAATATCAGATTTAATGTTGCCAAAACTTTCCAAACTATTATTCCATTACTCGATAGCACTGTTGTTCAATCAAGAGTTAAACCATTACTTCTTAAACTCCAAGAAGATACAGATAAAGATGTTAAATTCTATTCAATGCAAGCTTTAAATCTTTGTTAATACTTGTATACACGCTATCCATTAAAAAATTATATAAAAAAAAAAAAAAAAAAAAAAAAAAAAACAAACCTACAAATCAGTATGTTGATTAATATGTAAACTAATAAATTAAAATATTAATTTAAAAAAAAAATAATAAAAAAAAAATAAATAAAATTAAAATTGTAATTACTTATATTTTTATAAATACTATTTTTTATTAACATATTTTAATTGGATAAAACTAAAAAATAATAAAGATTTAAACTATAGTTAATTAATTTGTTTTTATAATATTTTAAAGATTATTTTTTAAATAATTTTTAAAATGGTTTATTAAATTTAATATGTTTTGATGAAGTTCATCTTTTTCGATTTGGTTACTATTGGGTTTGAAGGATTTAATAATTAATTGATAAAGTAAATTTAAGTTATTAGAAATTTCTTGATCATCAAATGATTCGTCTTTTGAAATTGCTTGAATAAGTGAATTGATTTGACGTGGTGGTGAAAAAACATATTGACCCTTTACTTGGATATATAATAGATTTACAATCATTTGAAATTGGTTATAAATATCATTTTCATCGTTATTAAACAACTGTTCTTGCAATTCATTTTTATGATCTATTAAAAGTTGTCTATAAAAAAAAAATTGGTATCAATTAGACATTAAATTAAATTAAAAATATTGCAAATGATAATAAATAAATACATACTTTTCTAATTTTTTATCTAAAGGTTTTAATTTGAATTGTGATTGTGCTGTAGCTTTTTCTAGAGAGTCAATAAAATCTAAGATTGATGATTTATTTAAAGATTGAATAAGTTTTTCTAAAGATTTTGAAAGCTGTAAAGGTAATTGTAAAAGTAAAGCTGATCTTTGGGCAGGAGTATCTAAAGAGTAGTTTTCCAACATGTGAT